TCTAGACTCGATGAAATACTATAATGATTTGCCTAAATCCCCCAAATTCTATTATAGATATATATATATATATATATATATATATATATATATATATATGCCAAAAGTTTCGAGCCAACGTCTAGATTTAATAATTAGTAATTGTTATACATTCTTTGGTTTAATAAAATTCTACTAAATTTGCATAAACTGATTACCTCAGAAAGCAACAAAAAGCTGCCTGTTTAGTGGTTTGAAATAATTGCTAATAATGGTGAGTATGTAATTGAATGAAATGTAAATGTACTTCTTTTTCTTCTTAATGAAATTGATAAAGATGGAAATTATTTAAAAAAGGTTTTAATACTAACTATTTTCTAATGGTCATATTGAAATTTGGTATCTTCATACACGTAACATTTGGCATTCATTGGCCAAACACTGTTATTATTGCTTGAAATTTATAAAAAAAAAACAACGTTTTTTTAAGACAATTTTTCAAGAGCTTATACTTCTCAAGTCTTTTAGCTCTTTCTGCTATTGATGGAGGTTTCCTTCCCAGCCTTTTGTTTTTGATAATGTGGAAAGTTAACAGCCTAATTATGTCATTATTTTCTCTTTTAGTTGTACTTGCTACACATTTTCGTTGTTGCTATTGGAATTATTCAGTTGCTGTGTTGTTTGTGATTTGGTAGCGCCAGACTATTGAGTTTGTTAAAGGATCATCTTGTTTCAGATTTAAAGTATTTACTCGTTTGAAGCCACTTTAACGAAGGAACACGAACAACAACAACAATAATAATAATAATAACTAGAAATTACCAAACACATATACTGGAAAATGCAGGTTCTGTGGTAAATATCCAGAACCAATTGACCATCTTGTATTAGGTTGCACAGTCTTAGCACCCAATGAATATAAAACTCAGCATGAGAGAGTAGGCCAATATTTACAATGGAAAATATGCCGTTTTTACGGGAAGGAAACTGAAAGAAATTGATATGAACACCACACAGACCCGCTTACATGTCTGTAAGGACCTGTAACAATGTTATGGGACTTTATAATACAGACACACAGAAGAAAGCTAATCGCTCAGATATCGTGATCAAAAACCATAAAACAGAATAGGCTTTCTTATTGACATGACAGTCTCTTCAGATTGTAAGGCATCTTTGAAGATCTTAAAAAAAAATCTATCAAAATACAAGGATCTTGAAGTGAGAATCCGAAAAATGTGGTACATGAGGACATCAATAATTCCCAGTTGTAGTTGGAGCACTCGAACTAATTGGAAAAGGTTCCCATAGACTCAGTGAAGTTTGGTTTAATCAGGAACACAATTCTGGTAACATATGCCTTAAAGAATTACAAAGAAATTTTACTCACAAATACAGCTCACACTTTACGAAGGATTTTATCTAAAATCTGTGTGATCTCGGGAATTTTTTTGTTTGTTTTTGTTTTTTAAATTTTTTAAAATGCTCAGTGGTAAATGTCATCATTCCATTTCTGACCTCTGGTTGGAACCCGAAAGGAAATGTGAATACAACAGGAATCAAAGAAAATAATAATAATAATAATACACGCCCTGATGCTACGTGGATCTCATGGCTTGTAATCTAAATTGATTGGAGGTGTTAACGTGTCAAATTTTTGTCTTGGTCAGTTAAGATGGGCTACAGTAAATCTCACATCCAGTCCCACAGATTTGTTTATCGATTGCCTGGCCTTAACCAGTTGAACAATGCTCCCTAATGTCCGAGGGATTCGAATGGAGCTGTGTTAGGATAGGTGTAAGGTAAGTCGTCTGGATAGGCATGTAGTAGTGTGACCGATGTAATTATTTATGAGTTTGGTTTAATCAGGAACACAATTCCTTAAGGGGCATTTGAACTCGAAAATAATATTGTTACTTGGTAGTTTTGATTTTGCAGGTGAACTCGGGCAGCTTTTATAGATTTTAGAATTTGAACTTATTTAAACACAAGCAAAAAGCTACCAGACACCATCCGAAACATACTAGTAGAAAATACAAGCATAGTAAACTCATCCACATGTAAAAATTAGTAAGAATAATGGAAGCACTAATAATAAAAAGAAAAATCCAACACTCAGTAACATAATCTATGAACACGGCCACAATGTGCAGACCGTGTTTGTAAGACAAAACATCCCTATAACTAAAGATATATACATAACACAACCCCTACATTCAGTTAAAATTAAAAATAAATTCATCCTTGATAATGGCTAAATGAATAGCCGAAAGTGTTGTGATATGCAGAACTTTTGGGCAGTTTCTACACACTCTGTGTCCAGAAAAGTAAACACTTGTACGAACATAAGAAAAATTAAATAAAAGTTTAATTCCAGTACCATGTTAGTCGTCTTTAACGAAACATGCATAAAAGAGGGATTGCTGCCCAAACACACACACACACACACACACACAGACACACACACACACACACACACACACACACACATATATATATATATATATATATTAGCTCCTGGTTTTCCAAAGCGGTCACCCATCTAGGTAGTGACCAGGCTAGACGTTGCTTAAGTTCGTTGATCGTACTGGAACTGGTGTTTCAACATGATACTGCTGTAAGCCGGAAAGAGTGCGGACATAGAATCCATAATAATATATATTCTACTTTATATCTAATGTAGATAATATTTGGTTAGCTGACAAAGAATTACAGCGGGTCACACAACGCCTGTACATCTATGTGTCAGGTGGAAACATCACACTATTGTGTACAATATATGTTGACTGGGTTTAGCATACATTTGGAAAGATCTACCATAAACATACATACATACATACATGCATACATATATGGTGGTTATTGACTCGCAAAGCGAGTATGACCATCACTGACATGTTCAGCCCTTCACAACTAAACCCCCCACTGCATTCACCGGTTGTGTGAACGGCAGTGGATCAAAAAGCCAGCCATTTATCTGGATTTCTTGTCACATATGTGGCATATCAAATCATCATCGGGTGGTGGAAGGAGACTTTGATCATCATCACTTCCAATGTGTCCTTTCTTATGCCGTGTCAGGCCCGACGTGGACAGCAAGTTGTCAGTATTTCTCGTGAGGGTTTTAAATTCAGTTGCAAATTTCACAGAACTGCATTGACCCTCACCACATTGTCCAGAGGCAAGTAGTTAGAAGATAATCTAGTGTGGCAATGTGACTGCTTTACTATATGAGTTTCTTTCTTCTAGGAGACTGCTAAAAGTTTTGGGAGGTCCCACCACCAGTGGGCGAAGAGCGCGTCTTGATATCAGTCAAAATATTTCTATGGCCTCGCGCAAAGAGATTGATAGATTGCTGTTAATCTCTCAAACAGGTTCATCCGCCCTTTGACAGGTCTTATTTTTGTCCTGCAGGGTTTCTAGCGACCCTCCTCACCAGGTAGACCTGGTGGGGGAACCGGTTTAGTCGCCAAATGCCCGACTATGAAACAGGTAGTACTGGCTTACATGACACCAGTAGAATCCCATCAGAATGACCTAACATAATATATATATATATATATATATATATATATATATATATATATATATATATATATATATATTAAGAAATGGACAAGGTCCGACAATTTATTTATTAAAGACATTTTTTATGTTTAACGTTGTTATTTATAGATACAAGTATTTAAGCAAATGCTCTGTTTATGATAAACAGTATTAAATAACATTTACCGGCCTGAATACTTATTTAGTATTTAATACTGTTTATCATAAACAGAGCATTTGCTTAAATACTTGTATCTATAAATAACAACGTTAAACATAAAAAATGTCTTTAATATATATATATATTTGTTTGGATTGATGTAAGTTTGTGACCCTGAGTTTCACGCTTTTGCGATCGTCAGACAAACACAAAAGCGTCAAACCCAGGGTCACAAACTTAGCTCTATCTCTTATATTGAGCGCTTTCTAATAAGTACCGCGCATATAATATATAAATAATCATATATATATTACACACACACACACACACACACACACACACACACACACACATATATATATATATACACACATTTTTCGCACAAACACACACACACACACACACATATATATATATATATATATAAACACACATACATATACATACATAATGTAGAAAATCTATGCTGCAAGGAATTATTAAAAGATGAAATAGCCATGACGTCCTACACACGCGTAGACCTTATACCAACATTTGGAAGAGAAGAATGAAAATATAGTTTCCTCTTTGTTCACTTTCATTATTCTGCTCTAAATTTTGGTATTTAAATACCAAAGAAGGAAGACAGTTAGTCATTGATTATAGAATTGAAGAAGTTAAGAGTTTAGTTTTCAGGGAACTATTCACATGAGATATTTTTCCATAGAGTAGCATCTTTTAAAATGAGAAACTTCCTCCTTACAATTGGAATATGGAGAAAATGTTTGTGATTTGACTCCATGGATGAATTCCAGCTATAAATGTCTGAACTGGTGGCACTAAGATAAATGGAGCTTAAAAGTGCATTTATCATCGAAATATCGATGAAGTAGGGATGCACTTGTAAAGGTTGCGTGTGTAGGAAAGCGTCTGTACAGAAAACTGGTGGGTGGGAGCCTCTCTTAGAAAGTCTAAAATCGTCACCAAATGGAATGCTATCATTCTACATGAATACGCATCAATTAAAAGACAAAGACTACAGATTTTAATTACTTCTTACTGTTATCTATCTATCTATCTATCTATCTATCTATCTATCTATCTATCTATCTATCTCAGTCTATTCATTATCTATCTATCTATCTATTTAAAATTGTTCATATTTATTTAATTTTGTACATATCTACCTCTGTATATACGTATGTTCATATGTATCCATTAGCTCATATTTGTTTATATATATATATATATATATATATATATATATATATATATATATATACGATATATCGATCTATCTCATTTTGTTCATATCTACGTCAATTTCTTCATATCTATGTCAATTTCTTCATTATCTATCTATCTGTCTATCTGTCTATCTATCTGTCTATCTATCTGTTCGATGTTTTAATGTCTGTATGAGTTTGCAATGCGTATTTGCGTGCGTGTATGCGTGCATATGTATGCGTGCATATGCTTACAGCTCCGTCTAATTAAGCCACAATATAACTGTGTCAAACTGTTGAGAGATTCTTGTATGCAAAGTGACATGCTTCTGCATAAAAATGTTGCACATTGCATGAGCATTTGTGCATCCCAGCGTATGTCAGTATTCGTGTGCTAGTAAATTTGTAAAATGCGAACAGCGAACAAAGGGGATAAAAAGAGAGAGAGAGGGAGAGAGAGGGAGAGAGGGGAGAGAGAGAAGATAAAATGATAAAAAAGTTCCCTAAAGAATTATCCCATTTGCCTCTCCTTCCAATCAGCCGTCGTTTAGGCGCCAATGTTTTCTTTGACAAATGACGTCAGGAAAAAAATCTCTGAACGAACAAGGATATAGCTTCAAAATTCGTTATTTGTACTTTTTGCAACAGATGACACCTTCTGCATACTTTAATAAAAGATGCATCATCTTTTGGAAAATGAAATCAAAAGCAGAAAAAGTAGATGTATTTAACACCTAAATAATAATAATAATAATAATAATAATAATAAGAAGAAGAAGAAGAAGAAGAAGAAGAAGAAGCAGAAAGAATTGTGCTCGAGATAACGAAGGCTAAGCTAGGTAAGAGAGAAGAGTAAATACGCCCTCTGGAGAGAATCAACGGATCAATTTCTTATTTATACGCTAAGTAAATACAGGAAAAGTAAGCTGAGAAGGAATACAAAACGATACATGACTGTGTAGCAACAGCGATTCACAAAGCATCGTTTTCCCTGTCGGTGGGCATAAAATACGCCGAAATGCATTCACTTCCAGAAGATAAACACTAGTGGACAAAAAGGATCACCGTACGAGTAGATAGTCGCAAATGAAAATGCACAATGGGTAACTAACTTTTTTGACACTCGTACAAACCGGGCCTATATCTATCATTTTCACTCGAATGCAAAACGACATGTTTTAGGAGAAATCGGATCTATCTTCTTTTTTTTTTTTAATTTTTAAATATCCTTTTTATCACATAAATTTTGGTGAGGCGCAAGTTAATTTTCATTCCGAATATGCGGCCCAGAGAGAAAAAAAAAAGTTTGGAAATCAATGTTTTTGATCATTTGGACATTGTATCGAGTAATTTCCCTTTGTTGCATTCTCTAGGAAATTGTCTTATTTGGCGTCGGCCGCTTGCTTTCCAATAACATGCCGACGGGTTTAACCGAATTACATGATATCAACAATTTAGGGGACTACCCCCGATCTTACACTAACACACGCCTTAGATGGACTGTGTTTACAAGATTAATAGAATCAAATTGTTTTTGCTAAATCTTTAGCTGTTGGACTGGAGAAGTAGATCCATACGTTTCCCTAAGACATTCGATCGAATCAAATGAGATTTAAAAAATGTAAGAAAGAGAATAGAAAGTACTTTTGATCGAAATGTTACTGAATATCTCATCAGTCGGATAGACCAAGTGAGACTGATAACTTTCTTGAAAATAATGAAATTTCTACAATATGGGAAATAAGAAACATTACAAATATTCAAATTAGGCGTTGAAAATCATTTACTCAACTTGATTATGTTTGTTGTTTTCGTCTGTGGCTTTGACATAAGTTACAAAAACAACCTAATGATGTATTTCTGCAGCATATTCGCTGCTTAACCGTAACGGAAAAATCAGCTAGGACGGATGACGAAAAGTGGATACTTTACAACAACCAGGAATGCAAACGATCGTGAAGCAAACACAATGAATTCATACGAACAGGGTCGTTGTGTACTAGCCCCGAATCCTCTGATCGAAGACTGCAAACCTGATTTAAGGCACCGGTCAGTGATTTGTGACCCTCGCTATATTATCAATATTTGCTTTTTTCAATTTATATATACCGAGTGTAAGAGCAAAATTGTCCAAATCGTGTAACAGCAAAATTGTCCATTTGTTAGATTAAGCATTGAACTGTTATATCTTAGAAATGAATAAAGATATCTTACTGGAATTCTCTGAGGTTTTTATAACACTATTGGACTCTACTTTGAGCAATAAGAATGTATAATTACTCTCCAAGCTTAATAGAAGAATCGTGATGAAATCCTTCATAAACGAAAATTACATATTCATCATTAATTGATCATAGGGTCTAATGGATATATATTATTCCAAGATCATTTTTCAACTTTTTTAAGATGATCTTCGCTCTCTTTAAGTATTTTCATCTTCTGTCATGTCGTAACAAGGTGTCTTAGGTTGCACGTACGATTTCATTTTCAATTTTTTTTCATTGCTCTTTGGACTGTCATAGGTGAAACTCCTCTCTCACATGCCAAACGTCTTATGGATTGAGTTGGATCTTTTCTAATAGATCTCTATAACTCTAAGTAGAAATGATGACACCTCTTCCTGTTGTGACCTCCTGATCCAATTTTCCTCTTTACTGTTTTTTTTTTTTTTAAACTTATTCACCGTTCACTTGAGAGTTTTTGAATGCACTTTGAAGATGGAAGCCAGAGTATGAATGTTGGTATCAGTACTGAAGGCCTGACTGATATTTTCCTCTCACCATTGATCAATTAGGAAGACATAGTGAGGCTGACACAAAATGATTTTAACCTAGGTATTTCCACTCTTTCGCGGTAAAACAGCATAACGTAATGCAAAAGACCACAGACTTAATAAAAATAAAATATTATCGTCAAAATGTTTATGTTATTGCTAAGATGAAAGACCAAAGTATTTTTTTTAATTTTTTGAAATTTTTTTATCATTTCTAAAAGAAATGATAAAAAAAATTCAATAGTGTTATAAAAACCTCGTTCGAAATTTTAGTTAAAATCTTCTTTTGTTTACGTCATCGCGGTGACATAAAAATAACATTAATTTTTTGCGCTTTTTCCGTTGAAAACACATTGATTTGGAAATTCTTGTAAAAATCAAGTAATTTTCCGATTTTAATGAAATTTTTAGGACCTATTTAAAAATAAATGAAATTATTTAAAAAAAGAATTTTTTTTTAGAAAATTTTGGTAAAATTATAATTTATAATAGTTTAAATTCGTGTAAAATTCTGTATTGGTCTATTTCCTGGATGTGATATTATAATTAAGTGGAAACGAAATTTACGAATCCAAAATTCTATTCTATTTTTAAAATAATTTTTATTTCGTATTTTTTTACTTAATACGGTCCTTATTTTCATGTATGGTAGACTGAAATTGCCATTATTATGAAAAAGGTCACATGATCTAAAAGTTTTGTCCTTTTATTAGGTCGCAAATACGTTTTAACAGGTTTTCAGAATTTCCATTCAGCTTTAAAAGTTTAAAATTTAAAGAAAGTTTTACTTTTTTCAATTACTATTTCGCTAAATACTTTTATTTTATGTATTTACATTAGTGTGGGTCACACTTCAATTGAGTAATCATGGTATTACATTTGTGATTAAATTATAAAATTAATTGAAGAAAATTTTATAGTATTTAAATTTTTTTATTTTTGCATCTTCGAAAGGTAAATAAAAGTCAAGAAAATATTAATTATTTGCGGAAAATATGTTCATTTGTAAAAATTACTAGGTAGGTAAAACCAAAAAAATGCGTTCACTTAGATTTCTGAAAATTATGTCAATTCGGGTTATCCATAGTAGTTGTTATCGCTTCGTCAATCAACACTCCATCAAACGCTGGATCAGATGAACAGGACCAATCAGTAATAATTGGTTGTATATTACTTTTTTATGCTATAAATTAAATAATATTTATTTCAAATCAGATAAGTTTTCTAATTTTATTCAAATAACGTGTCAGAAATATATATGTATTTTTTGAAAGAATTTTAAAATCGATAATTTTTTTTAAAAAAATTTCTTAAAATTAAGAAAATGGCCGCTTTTAAGAATTTTAAGAAATCAAAATTAAATTTGACACTCCAATCTATATAATCTCTATCTGAAATACACCAGAATATTTTACTCATTGGAAATAATAAATTTAATTATTAAGTGGAGGTACCTATTTTAACCTGCTCTATTTCTAGCTGAATAACTCAAAGGGTTTATCGGTGATTTTTGCGACAAATGATATCAAATTGGCTGAACGTTTTACTTGAAAAGCTGGAAAAACGAAACTCAATTAGTTTAATGGTTTTTATTTTTTTATATATGAAACATTTTGTACGATGGACAATTATGCTGTTACAGGATTCGGACAATTTTACTGTTACACTCGGCGTATAAGTTTTTTTTTCGTCCAAATCCATGAATTTATTTTACTCATGCTAAATCCCGACAAAACACTCAATATAAAATTCGCTATTTTTTTTTTGTTCAAAATGTTGAATGTGTTAAAATTATTTAACTTTTTAACAAGAAAAATATCAAATTGATATTAAGAATTGCCGCAAAATATTTTTAATTTATTTAAGATGCAATGATCTATTATGACATGTTATGATCTATTATGACATGTTATGATCTATTATGACATGTCTCTAATATGTATTTAGATACAGTGTCTTTATTTTCAATTTTTCTAATTGAATTGATCACCTATCTTGCATATGATCTATTATTGTACATAATTATGTTACAATAAAATTTGTATTTTATATGAATAATACCTTATGAAAATTGAGATGTAGTAGAGTGGGGGTGCGTATCATAGATTCTGGGAGGGTTATGAGACCTTTGCATTGGCCTGGGTTGTATAGATAAACATTGTCGGGATTTTTATACTTGAGTCCATAGGTAAATATTGGTTTATACTTAGATTCATATGTCAATCAATATATAAATCATTAATTGTATCAATTCAAGGCAAAATTATATACATTTATTTTGTTTCAATTTTTAAAAGCTTATATTTATTTGTCATATTCTTTAACAAATATATTTTTATCTGATGACAATGCTATAACTACAAGAATACTTTTTTTTATTTGTAGTTCTTAGTCACTATGTCTGGTTCACCAGTTTTTAGTTTTTATATTTTGTCTATCAGAAAAGAATGCTAAAGTCTCAAAGAATAGTAACTTCATGACCTTCTATGACTGGTTCCGGGTGATATTCATATAATCTTTCAGCATATGCAATATTGTATTATTGGTCTATATCTTCCAGTAAATACACTGCCCGATTTTATGGCAGCCTCTGTATTTCTCCGGTGTCGAGATTGGACAAAGAGACACTAAGTGATTAATAGACTCATCATGTTGTTCACATAATCTACATATTGCATCTACATCATTCTTTATGTTTGCTT